GTGTTCGTACATAATACTGACCTGTATGATTAGCTGAAAGTCATTAATACTAACAAACTGTCTTAACTCCATTCCCACATATGATGCACTGTCAAGAATCTCTTTACATTAGATTTTTCACTCATTAAAATAGAGGAGAAAAGCTACTTCCAGTTATTTACTAAACATTTCGGCAACGAAAAAGATGTGCCATATCAATCGATGATAACCACTGACTGATTACGAGTATGTTACAGATAACTGTATAGCAAGACAGTATCGTCCTACGGTGAGTAGATGATAGCCACGTTTCATCATAGTCTCCACCTATAAAAATTATACCGCTTGCGTACAAAAAATCAGTGTGATTTTGAAATTAAAAAGTCACATTCATCACTCACCTAAAATAACTAAGAGCCGTGATATTAGGCATTCTTAATGGACACCAGTGGCTATCCTCAAGTTAGATAATTATCCTTATACGGCTGTATCAAGTTTGATTAAATTAATTCGACTAATATACTTTTCCATGTTTTGATTAAAGAGGATCATAAGCATTACTGTCCTCAAATACATAATTAACTGTTTCTAAGCAGACATTTTCGTGGAGAAAGTGGATACATAAGACTCAGAAATGCTTTTTTCGCCTCCATTTTATCGTAGACACACAGATGCATGAAATGATACACGGTAAGTGCTCTAGAATAAGCAGCCGTCTGCTTAGTAGCTGACTAGCAGCAAACTGGTGTCTATGAGTCAATGGTCATCAAATGAGACAATGTTGATTCTAATGCTTCAAGTTAGTGCCGACCAGGAACAGGTAATCATCTCTGTCTCAATGCACCCGACCGAAAGCTGCTACCTTGACGTGGTGGTCGGGCTTGAACACAGCAATGACCCAACAAGCTATACTGGCTGAGACTTATGTCGCTTGAGGTCCTACCATGCCAGAAAGGTTGTTTGGATAGCGGTTAGACAAAAAGCAGTTACCCAACCCAATGCTATGACTCAAAGTAAATCACAAAATATCATGCCGGATCGGTCGGGGCCCGGATTAACAATGACCGCGCTTCCTGCTGCCGTGTCACAGGGCAGAAGTGATAAATGTGCTACTGAGACACACCAAATGAAAAACAACAAACAAAAACAGGCCGTGTGTGACCGGCCTCAAGCAGTTGTCCCCTGGGCTCTGCGGTCACGCAACCAACTTCCACAGTGTGGGCAGCCGGGAAGTAACAATCGCCCTCACAATCCGAAGTGCACGCGAAACCTCTCTAATCCTCACTCATCTTTGTCTTCATCTTCATCTCTATTATCTTGCCTTCCTTCTACCAATGCAACTCCTCTACTTAATGGCTCTTCACTCTGTGTGCATTGAAAACGACGGAAGCCAAAAAACCACCATCGATAGTCTCCTAAAGCCACGCCACCAATTTCATATAGGGGCATTTAATGTTAGGACACTTTGCCGAATAGGACAACAAGCATCACTAGCCAAGACTCTGGCATCCCGAGCCATTGATGTATGTTGTGTTTCAGAAACACGCATACAAGACCCAAGTGTGGTTATTCACCTAACCCCACCTGGCCAACAGGATGAATCTGCAAAATTCACCTTGAGGGTGTCAGGAGATGCCACAGCTAGCTCACGAGGATTAGCTGGTGTTGGGATAGCTTTGAGTTCTAGGGCAGAAAGGACATTACTTGACTGGATCCCGGTAGATAGCCGAATGTGTGCTGTCCGTCTGAACGGATCAGTAAAAAGGAGAAAGGACTGCACTACTCGCCGATGCCTTTTCGTAATCTCCGCCTACGCCCCCACTGACTGCAGTTCGGATGAAACGAAGGATGAATCCTACCGAAAGCTGTCTAGTTTGCTGCGAAAGGCTAAACGCTCAGATATAGTCGTTTTAGCTGGTGACTTTAATGCTCAAGTGGGGAAATTGTGTCAATCTGAGAAGAATGTCGGTGGCACATACGGAATTCTGTGCCAGCGAACCGACAACGGTGACCGTCTCCTACAGTTATGTTCAGGTAATCACTTGTTTCTAGTAAGCACTAACTTCAAACACAAGGAGAGACACTGTTTGACCTGGCCACCTCCATCATCAAACCAACGCTGGACACAAATAGACCACATAGCAATAAGCTATCGTTGGAGTGGGTCGGTAGGAGATTGTCGCTCCTTCTGGAACACGTGTGTAGATACCGATCACGCACTGGTCCGCGCTCGTGTGTGCTTACGACTGAACGGACGTAGGAAACAGCTAGCGGTAAACCCATCACGTCCCCAGTTCGATCAGGAAACTAAGTCCCTATTTGAGGAAGAACTAGCTAAACACATATCTGATTTCGACAGCTGCGCTCACCCTGAAGAAGCCTGGAAGAATATTCAGTCAGCCATAGATACAGCTGTAAAAGCTGTGAATAAGGTAAATCCAAAGGTGAGTAAAAACCATTGGATTTCGACTGCCTCATCCGAACTGATAGATGCTAGAAGACTTATTCCGGCGAGCTCCGAATTCAATGAGGAGCGAAAGCTGCACAAAAGGAAACTTACGAAAAGTCTCCGCAAGGACCGTCAACAGTGGTGGTTGACAAAGGCGAAAGAGATGGAAAAAGCATCGGCGATAGGCAACTCTTTAGACTCATCAGGGAAACGGATGGGAGAAGGTAAGTTATAAGTGAGACTATTTCTGAGAAAAGTGGCTCCTTAATTAGCTCTCGGGATAGACGCCTTGAACGCTGGACAGAACACTTTAACTTGCCTACAGCCACACTGAGCCTCCCCGCCATCCAGCACACACCCGAATGGGATATAGACACTGGCCCGCCATCTGTAAGTGAGGTCACAAAAGCTATCTGTAATCTGAAACGAGGCAAAGCGGCAGGACCCGACGGAATTATTCCGGAGGTGTTTAAATATGGGGGTGACATACTAGTATATAGTTTAACTAAGGTACTAGGTAACGTCTGGGAATCAGAGATGGTTCCATCAGATTGGGGTAAGTCACTTATTATACCAATATTCAAGAAGGGAGACAAGTCCTCATGTGATAATCATAGAGGAATCAGCCTGACGAACATAGTCTCTAAAATCCTAGGCTCAGTAATCATGAACAGACTAAGCCGAATTCGGGAGGAACAAACGAGGGAAAATCAAGCGAGCTTTAGGCCAGGTAGAGGGTGCATGGATCATATCTTCACTCTCCGACAGATCCTAGAACAGAGACACACTTTTAGGCGTCCAACAATTGCCATATTTCTTGACTTGAAGGCGGCCTTCGACTCAGTGGATCGAGAGGTACTATGGAAATGTTTGACTGTGAAAAGAGTGCCAAGAAAGTACATTGCACTAATCAAGGCACTCTACTCAAACTCACGTAGCCATGTAAGGGCTTATGGGGAATTGTCATCTGAATTGATAACAACCAGTGGTGTCCGTCAAGGATGTCCACTTTCCCCTTTTCTGTTTAACTTCATCATAGATATGTTAATGGAAGTATCCTTAACTGAACTTAACGACTTAGGAATCGACTCGTTACCAGGGAATAGTCTTATGGACTTAGAATATGCAGACGACATAGTCCTGTTAGGGGAGGATGCTGACAAAATGCAGAGTCTTCTGAACACCTTGAGCAGCAATCTTCGTATGTTTGGCATGCGATTCGCCCCTGTAAAATGTAAGATGCTGCTACAGGACTGGACTACGTCAACTCCTAGCTTAGTGATAGGGAGTGAAGTGATAGAACATGTTGACCACTTCACCTATTCGGGAAGTTGTATCAGCACCAACGGATTGATTGGCGACGAAATCTCAGCACGGATCCAAAAAGCTCGAGCTGCTTTCGTTAACTTACACCGTCTCTGGCGTAGGCGTGACATCCGGCTATCAACCAAGGGACGTGTGTACTGCTCAGCAGTTCGCTCCGTCCTTCTCTATGGCTCTGAAACATGGCCAATACGAGTTGAAGACATGAAAAAGTTGTCTGTTTTTGACCACAGATGTTTACGATCTCTTTCTCGCGTTAGGTGGTATAATAAGGTAAGTAATGTTTACGTTAGGCGTAGAGTGTTGGGCAAAGAGGGAAAATCAATAGAAGAGGCTATAAAGTTACATACATTGAGATGGCTAGGTCACGTGCTGCGCATGCCTAACCATCGCCTCCCCCGACGGGCATTACTAGCTGATATAGGTGCAGGTTGGAAAAGAGTAAGTGGTGGCCAAACAAAAACATGGCCTCATCAATCCATGAAATCCTTGACAGTTAAACTGAGTCAGGTAGGGAGATGCAGACTTCCGTGTTGGGGCCCTCGGGACTCTAAGAATCAATGGCTGGAGACAATAGGTGACATGGCTCAAAATCGTTGTCAATGGCGCAGATGTATTCAGTCTCTGTAATCTTTCATATTCCTTTCTACCATTGCTCATTCTGTTTCACTCTTATACTTATCAAAACTCTATTGATTCTCTTCATTCATTTTCTTGTCTACCTTTGTGTGCTCTTTGGAACGTGGTAACTCGAACTGCTGCACTTCGGTGCCAAGTTCTATGTTGAATCCAACCAGCCAGCCAGCTGTCTCAATACAAAAACAACATCTAAGTATTTACAAAAAGATTAGAACTAGGCAAGATATGTGAAAAGTCCCAAAGACTGTGGTAACAACTTTTGGGACGATCAGTTATATAGTTACTATAAACTTAGTATCTTAACACATAACTTGGTTTACAAAAATTACTTATGGTCTTAGTACAAAGTTAATGGAAATAATTTGTGAAGTTACTACTTAAAAATCTTGTCACAATCTATCGATTCCATATTACTGAGAGAAAATGTCTGGGATAACTTCTCTTGTTAAAGCAATATATCAAACACTAGATACAGAGAGATAAGTATGAATAAATTAACCTAGCTTATTAGACTACTTCTTATTAGTAAGTAGTAAAAGGTTGTTAGATAGTGATTGACATTATGGTTGTGAAGATGTTATCCTTAAATTTGAATAGAAAAGATAACTGGAACTTTGTGTATCGATAAATAAATACACTAAAAACAAATTCACAAAAACGGTAGTAATACTTCATTATTGATGAATATATTATGTCACACAAGGAACTGTATGGACAGGTTAAGAATGAAATGATATGAGATTTAGCAAGGAAATAAGCATGCACATATAAGATATAGTGAGAGGAGAAAAAGCCGTTAAATGAACCATATACAGCAAGAGAAGGAACATAAATACTCAGAACTAAGAAATAATGTGCACAGTAGAATGTAAATAAAGATATTCATTTATGATGTTAACGATAAGCAAACTTGCGTTCTATAGTTCATCAGTTCAATATTCAAGTAACCGAAGTTATATTTTTAGCATAATGACGATAAAGCCGGTAAAAATTTAATATTTGTGTAATTCCAGTCAAAAGAAAATAAGGAGAATTACAATAGCAGTTATACAGTACAATGGATAGTTTCAGAATGGGTAAATAACTACTTGTGAGTCTAAACCTCGGAAGTAGGATCTACATTCTGTTACACCAAAGATGCATTTATTTTATATTATTATTATTGATATTACCACCGTTATTGTTAGTGAGTGGCAAGAATGTAAAAAGAGTGAGGAAAATATGAATATATACGTGTGTTTAGTTAGGATTAAATCAAGCAAAAACTCAGTCGATAGGTTTCAAAATGCTTCAGAAATTCTGATAATTATTCATTATTATAGGATAAAAAAATACACACTGAAAATGTTATTCAGAAACAAATAATTATTTACGAATATATAATGTGTTGCAACTGACGACAATGATTATTAGAAGTTCAGACATCATTCAAGATAAAGAAAGCAGTAATTTCTGATAGAGTAGCTAAAACAAAGAAAGTTACCATATACACTCAGTATCACAGAAATCACTGTATCCAAAAATATATTGAAATCAAGAAAATGGCAAGACATTTAAAAAAATTATAACATTGAATTGTAGTCACTATATTGCAGAGATGATCTGTTTGGAGCATTATTCTTGTATTTATTGCAAATACACGAATATAATAGTACTAGTAATAATACAATCCTCTGTAAATTAACTCAGAAATCTCCAAAATCGAATATCTTTGTCACTAAAAAACAAAAAGAAAGACAAAATGAAAGCTTAAACCGTAAACGCACGTTTAAAACAGGAAGGAGAAAACGAAACCAAGTAGGAACGAATATACTTACTTGCCAGCTGTGAACACACGATTTTCGTATGTTCTTACACAATTAATAGCTCCTTCATGTGCATTGCTGATTTCTCCCAAACAAGTACAATCTTCGACATTCCAAACTTTAAGTGTACCACCACGACAACCACTGATAAGCTTTGACCCATCTTTTATAATAGCCATACCCTATAAAACCATCAGTATAAAAGATGAGAAGCAAAGTGGCAAAACATTAATAAAAGGCGTTAAAATAAATAAGTAATTTAAAACACAAAACCTCGCCCATCTGACATTGTTATCTTTTAATTAGATCACAAACAGAAAATGTACCAGTGCTCGGCTAATTCAACAAATCAGGTCTTTGGAATTAATTAGAAGAGAGAGAAATCACAGAAACACTTACTTGTACCCAGTCTTTATGAGCTTGAGCTAGTGATACATCCTGGCGGCCTTGCTTGGCTAAATTCCACTTTTTGATTGCAGCGTCCCGGGAACCAGAAAACAAAATATTCTCATGGATTACTAACGACTCGATCCCATCATAATGCGGTGGCTCTAAATCATAAATGGGTGTGAGTAGACCGGATGCATTTGAAGACACATCAAAAACTTTTATGTAATGATCCTAGGGTGAAAAAGAAAAAATATTTTGAACATGTTTTACTTTTAAAAGAAAGACAAATAAAAAAATAACCATAATGAAATAAAAATAGTATGTAACAATGATTCTCAGCTAGCCATAAAACAAGAAGACCAATAACCACAGATTCCTCCAATTTGTATTATGATACCATAGGATTTCTTTTAGCTGGTAAATCAGGAGAGGTTACCACACACCTTACCTGAATGAAAAATACTTTTGTCCAGAAGACCCTCGTTTGAAGCTCATAATACTGATTGAATGAATGTAAAAACAACTTACTTTTGAACCAGTAACCACAGTCAGTCTGGGTTCCGAAATATCAGTCGGAGAAAGTGAATTTTGAGCGGCAGCTAACACCATTACAGGCGCTTGATGACTACCATGTAGCTTGCCGACACAATAAAAACGTCTTAAATCCCATAACTTCACAGAATTGGCAGTAGCTGAAAACATTAGGTGACTTAATGACGTACTAGGGCCGCCAAGTGTGATATCCATGATATTAGTTTCACCAGGTGGACAAATATTTTGACGACGCATAGCTTTTGTTTCGAAAGAACCTTCTTGACTCAGCCCACTTGATCTAAAACAGAAAGGTGGGTGAAAAAGAGCATTAATCTTAAGTAACGAAAACCACATTAAAACATTTCCCTGACGCAAAAAAAATAAAGAAATCAAAAAGCATATTAACACATTTGACGTACAATAAAGTGCGAATACATTTGCGTGAATCTCTGCGATCCCAAACTTTAATGAAATACGAGCAAACCGTGAAAATAAGATTTGATCTTTGACACATTCTGACTTTCGTTACATTATTAGGATGATCATGAAACGTGTCTACTTCTTCCATTGTATTTAAATCCCAAATTTTTGCAGTACGATCTACGAAATACAGAAAAATATAATGAATATAGTTAAAAATTTGTTAGAATAAATTATGTTTTTACTAAACATACTTTAATATTAAGTATGTATGGAAAATAATGATTACACTGCAGTATGATTAGATATTTCTTTTTATAATTATCTCAATAATTTATTCATGCCATGACAGAGATAGATTCGCATACTATGTACGAGAAAAAGCGGATGAAAAATAGATTTCTTGAAAACTTTATATAAAAGAAAGACTTAGATTGTTGTGGAAAAGGATTTATTACTCAGCATGTTGGAAATTGTTTAATCCATCTTTACAAACAAAAAATAACTTGAATAAAGTTGAAACAACTTTTAATTTATTTTTACAAAACAGCCATATGGTTTAAATGTAATCGGCAAGTCTTCCTCTTCACACGTAACTCGGTGGACTCCACGCGTCAACTGTTCGTTAGTCAGTCACTAGTGGGCACTAGATTACTTTTCAAGTGTTACCTCTCGGGTATTTGATTAACTTCATTTCGCAACTTGAAGTATGGTGCATTCAAGGACACGGACTGCTGAGGGGTCCCAGACTAGAATTGCCCAGTACTTCTTGATTTTTAGAGTTCCTCTGACTGAGATCAGTTCGTGATCGAAATTAAATTCCATCAAATATCTGCAAACCAACACTTGGAAGCAAGTGTTAATCTATTGCCTAAGTTAAACTCGCTAATTAACTAGGATTTGTTGCTGATCAAAATGTAGAAAGTTAACGATAATAATAATGTTAAAAGAGTAATCAGAGAAAAACATATTCGACAACAATGTTGAACCAGGTGTGCTTTAATAATAGTATAATTAAATTTGTGTAGAATAAACTAAGAAAAAATACAACGTAAGTTTATTCAAAAATACCATTGAACTTCAATCATAAAATAGGCAAATGCACATAAAATAGATATGAGGGTGTGACATTTTCCTGACCAATTAACAATAAATATCCACGTTATATTACCTTTACTACCGGTTATCATAATGCTGTTTAACACATCAACATCTAGGACAGCATTTGAATGTCCCTTAGCTACATGTGTACATTCAATAGGAGCAGGGAAGAGGGAAGATGAATGAGCTGTTGATGACGATGTAGTATTCATATTGGATGATATATGAGACCCATTGACGTTTGCGTGAGCTGCATGCGAAATAGTAAATGATGTGGAAAATGAAGCCAATGGCTGACTTATAGATTGGGAAGACAAATTATTACCAAGATCAGTCAAAGTGTTTGAACATTGACTTAACGAAGAGGAAGACAAATGGTAAGACTGATTTGATGTATTGGTATTCGAAATTAGATTCGTATTTGTATTATTAGCGGAAATCAAGCTTGGAGTATTTAATTTCGTCAAGGGGCGTATCGAACCTCTATAAGATGAAAAAAGCGGAAAACAAACCACGAAGTTAATTTACGAATTATGTTGTAAGCATTTATCTCACGATGACAAATCTGCTGCACTATTTCCACAGAATGTAGCGTAAATTGAAAATGCATTGTATATTGTAATGTAAACTACGTAATAATTATTTACAGAGGTAAACCTCCACACAGCACAGAGTAATTAGCAAATGACATCACACAAAACAATTTTTAATACAAATAAGTGTATTCAGCATGAATATAAGCTCACCGGTAGAATTGAGGCGAACAAAGTAGTAAAATATTAAAATATATTCATGTATATTGTAAATTTAATTTAACATCTCCATGAGAAACACGAAGAAAGCATTCAGTTAGGCAACTGGTTTATATTTTACTAACCATATACTCAAAAGTGTTGGTAATTTAGGTAAGGATATCGCACAAATTGCCAGAAAAAGCAACAGGAAGGATAACTTAGATATATGGGTCAGGAAATAATAAAGAGAAGACTATTGAATTTAGTTCGCGATTTGCAATTTACACAGTTCGAGATGAAATTTCAACACAGTTTCCTTTGGAAAGCAAAATTAGTCAGATCACCACAATATGTGATCTGCTTATAACCACACATGACAAGAAAGTAAGTATGAATGCATGATGTTGAATACAACTGGTTGGTTGTTATGGGTAGATGGATGCCACTCACTTATCTAGTAGAAATACTGTCACCAATAATATATTTAGAACTGAAAAAAGTAGGCTGAATTCAGGAAACTTAAATAGATAGTAAAAAAAGATATTCTGAGGGAGTACGACGAAGTATTATCACTCAAAAGACTAAAATTTAACAATTACAAGGAATTCCGTTAAATAAAAATGAAGACGCCAACAAAACCTGAGTTCAAATAAAGTATAATTATATTTCGATAGTTTACACACAATGATAAGTTTTGTTATTGGTAATGTTTCGAGCAAAATTACCTATAACAAAACTTATCATTGCGTGTAAACTATTGAAATATCATTATACTTTATTTGATCTAATCCACAATGCTCAAACTTTTTATTGATATTAAAACCTGAGTTTCCCAACAGAATACATTAAATTGTGAGTAAAACGAAATAAATACATATACATTCTCATGACAGACTAAGTTACTATTCATTTTGAGCTAAATTAGGTATTGGTAAGCCCCAACTTCAAAAATACGTTATATAACACATAATAACATAAGAAGTACTCCGATTGGAAGTTTAAAAGCGGTAACTGTTAGCGTATTAATTGTTTCATTATTATTATTATTAGATTCACTTGTAAAAGATAAAGTATATTTTCTTTACCTGCTGTCATCGAATTTTCCATACTAGAAGTGAGTATCTAGTGATGATATGAAAAATTATGGAATTACTTTAAAAAAATTGTAGTCTAAGTAGAACTGAGAAAAAGCTGAAAAATGAACAGGTTATAAGCTATATATGAAAGACAGTAGTCAAGCTCTCCAGCTTACCACATTACTGACGTTAAAATGAAATGGTATGGAACACAAAATTGTGGATATAAAGACGAAACGAATAATTCACAATCACGGTGAGATACTTAATTGTCTAATAATTTCTTTAACTAATTTTAGTTTACAGTTAGGATGGAAGGCTCTGTGAATAAAAGCAAGATACCATGGTTTCAGTGTCTAACATTTCATGGACAAGTAGATCCTTGTCACACAGTCATACATTAGAATGTGCACTAGTCTTTATGTGCGTAACAATTGTGCGATTTTATACTAACTACATGTCATTTAGTAAGTCGCTTATCCTAATCACAGTAACCACATAACTTAAATGAGAAAATAATACAGGATGTTGGAGATAAGCAGCAATTAAAAGTGGTTGGAACTAAAGTGTGTAAACATCTGTTGCTACATACTAATGATTGATTGGTATGAGCAGTCGGACACCACTGATATCAACCAGTAGTAGTGTAACGACAGAATACAAGGGCCAGGTAACATATTGTTTATTGAGGATATCAAGAGATATTTATACATTTTTATGTACATTATTATTCGTTATTACTAGCAGAGAAACAGCGTCTCCTGATTGGTTGTTTTCTCGGTGAAAGTTAATCTGCCATCTCTTTGTGGTCGTTTCTTTGAAGGTCAGAACATAGATCTACAAATCGTATCTGCCCACGCAAACTCTTTGTTCTTGTTTTTCTCATGACCACGATTTGGGAAGTAAACATTGACGTAAATTGCTGTCTACCAATTTTGGCCAGTAGACATCTCTCACCACAGTAGTACTAGTGAACCACACTGAAGTGATCTCAACACTAGATGGTCGTCTCATTCATTTGGGGGTGGACTCATCAACAGTGAACCCGGTTTGATTCAGTATAGGACTAGGTACTAGGGTGAAATGGTAATGCATTGAATCGAATTCGTGATTTGCAACTGATGGTATTATGATTACATACTCTTAGTTGATTAATTTCCGTTTCCTAAGAAAACTGTGTAATTTGCAAATTGAGAATATGATCCGCAATTAACCGTTATTATGTGGAAATGAAAGAAATCTTTGCAGGGTGCCTTAAAAGGGGAACTTACCTGGTAGGATTTGGCGAATTTGACATTCCACTGGTAAGCCGATTGAAGACGTCATCAGGTTCAGAGGCCATTAGACATAGAGAAGCTATGGGGGCTGTTTTACTCGTGGGACTAGTGGGCCTACTTTCAGCTGATACGCTAAGAAAAATACAAACAAAACATTCAAGTCGGTTTTCACGACAATAGGAAACTGTAGAATATACTGTTCTTTGTTCAAAATAAACTTCAATTTTGAACTTTAAACTTATGTAAAAACACTTAATGTACTGTTATATTTTCAAATAATTGGGACGCGATGATGCTGCGAGCTTAAAAAAGCAATGAGTATATCATCAAATTTCAAGTTAAAACACGACCATTGATATAGACTGCAAAACCTCACACACAACTCTGTGTGTGATGATCATTTATACGGACTACTCAATGTACCATGGTTATCAGATGAGTCAATAGACCTAAGCCTTTTGTTGGGTTATAAATCATTGGTTTAGGTATTTGAATTTTAGCCAATTCAGTACAGATTGATGCTAGAGTAGGGAGGTAATATTATCGAACCTACTAAATAGATGTGGTTCATCGCCAAGAGCATGAAAAAATTATGTAGCTGTTGAGTATCTTTATTCTTAAGTAAAGTTTCATGAATGGAACTTGGCAATGAATGCATGAGACCAGATAATATAGGAACTCTTTATTCGAGTAAAAGATCAAGTATGGGAACAGAATATTAAATCTACCTAATCTATGGATATTCTTCAGATAGAAAGTAAGTCTGCATAAGCACAAAACTTATTAAGAAGGTACAGCGTTGTAGGTGAACATGTAGAATATCAGAAGAAAACAGTGTTACCTGTCAGTGTTGTTAATAGGCTGTAAAATCAACGAAGTCGACATTACATTAGGAACATTGCCTACATTTCCTATCGCAGAACGCGCTGTTGACAGTTGTAGGTTTGAAGGTGCAGAGTTTGGAATTCCATCTATGATTGTTACATTCCGTCTAGTTGTAGGAGAATGAACAGCACTGGGAGGACACGAAGAACGAAGAGCAGAAGGATTGTTCGCAACAGTATTTGAAGATAT